CATTGCTGTGCAATTCATTACGGGACAAAGAAATGTCTGGGGTTAGGCAGGCAAGCAACTAATGATCCTTCATTTTGTCCAGAAAACATCAAGATCGATATGTAGGACATGCAACATTTATGGAACGCTGTATTTTCTTTTCCCTCTAGAGGAGAGAGAAAACACTGGATGATCTCTTTCTGCTGGTGGCTACAACACTCAGATGATTGACACGGTTTAACTTATGCCTTTGGCCTCTCCTTCCCATCTGCTAGTAGCAACACTGATGCCTGATCTTTGTTAACTTCCTGTATACTAGTATTCGATAATTTGATTTTTGACATGTATATTTAGCCTCATTGATCCAGGTAACCAAAACTGGGGGATAACATTATAATCTAAAATGAACAGAGGTAGTTCTGGGATATACTAGCAGACATTAAGGATCCATGAGCATTTAAATTCATTAAAGATAGAGCATTTATGAATAAATAGGAGAATCCCAGAAAAAGAAAGCCTGATCTAAAAGAAGATACCTACAAAATTCCCTTCCAACTCATATAATATGTCAGGAACTGGAACCCAGTGCAAACATGAATCATATATTATGAGGAGATTATGCCTACAATGACTCAAATAAAAATGGGAACAGCAACATAAATGTGGTCAATGTTATATGTCCTTGTGAATGACCTTATCTATGGTGTTTTTAAAATCTTAAATTCAGAACAATGCTAAAGTTTTAGGTTGAAGAAATTTTTTTTGTATAGAAACAACACAGTAGAAGATTTGGAAACTAGATGAGCATCTCAGGAAAATAACTAGCTTTCTATCTCTCTTAAGATTAATAGTTATTGCTAAAAGTGACAGAAATTAAAATGGCAGTAGTTTTGCCCAATATCACATGCACATTTCATATAAATAAATAAGGATGTAAGCAATGTGAATATGACACCAATTGTGCTGAACTCACTTCGAGTGAGATGAAAAGCAGGGCTCTAGCATAAGATGATGATTGACTTAATATCCAATCTTTTTTTAAATTTTTTTTTTTGAGTTGGAGTCTCACTCTCTCGGCCAGACTGGAGTGCAGTGGCACGCTCCCGGCCTCTGTGGCCTTGATCTGCTGGGCTTGGCGATCCTTCTGCCTCAGCCTTCCAAGTAGCTGAAACTACAGGCGTGCACTACTACGCCCAGCTAACATTTTTATTTATTGTAGAGACAAGGTCTCGCCAATGTGCCCAGGTGGGTCTCGAACCGCAGACTCGGGCAATCCACTCGCCTCGGCCTCCCAAAGTGCTGGGAGTCACCAAGCCCGACCAATATTCAATCTTTCAATAGCTGTCTTAAGGTCTGAGGATCTCGGGTCATTACTGGATCACTGTAGGTGTCTCATTCTCAAGACCTTAAAGCAATTACTTAAATCAATGTGCAGTTCTATAAAACCCCAAACTTCTGAATTCAAATATGGCAAATATTGAGGATGTAGAACACAGAGTTTTCAAATTTTTTAAAATTCAAATTTAGCTGTCGGTAGGTCAGACTAATTACAGTTGGTTTTAGTTAGTAGGACAAGCTCTCTAAAGTATTGACAAAGGTTAGAAAGTTGGCCACTGTTTTGAAAAAGTGTCAATATCTGATGTCAGGTTCATAGTGATATGCTACTCTCTGTCTTAAAGATGGAATAGAATATCAGATTAAGTTATGAGTTTCTGAAAGTAAGATTTCCACTATCCTCAAGAAATAAGCAATGAAGACCACTAAAGGCAGATAGCAGAATACAGTCAAATTGTATTATACTGCAACGACTTAGTAATTATATCCAACGAGGGCAAATTACTACTTTATCTTTCAAAATGCCCATATCTTGCATTACATCCTCTTTTATTTCACACCTAATTTAAGTATCAAAGATTAAATGCCTGCAGTTAGCATTTGAAGCCCATATTAATTTCTATTTAACTTCCAAAGTAATGCATAAATAAGCAAGCTCAAGTACTGATGATGATCAATATTGTATATTTAGTTCTATAATGTTGAATGCAAATCTCAGAAGCATAAAGTTATCTCTCTTAAGAGTTTTAGAACTGAGCATAATTATTTTGCCTTTTTGCTCCCAGGAGATAAAAGTGAGAAACTCATAACCAAGTTCCTGCTATTCACAGTGTTTCCATTGGGTGTAGCTATGATATTAGATAGGTTAATATCACGGGCTGCATATTCTGGAAAGATGCCCAGACATTTGGGGATTTGTAGTGACTTTCTTTGTCTTCAGCATTAAATTGTATTAGTCAGCGGTATATTCTATGGGGAAAGCCAAATAAAACACTTTCAAATCAATCAGGGCAAGAAGGATTTCAATATATCTTTTTTCTAAAAAGGAAGAAAACTAAAAAAAAAAAATGGAGACCTGTGCTAAAATTGATTGCAAGCAACAATAATTTCTATATAGGTTGCTCATTTTGAATTTTTTATATAAACATATAATTTACACCTAGTTTGAATGCCTTCTGTATAAATAGGCATCTACTGGATAAAATGGGGAAAATAAGGGGAAAATCCACTAACAATGAAACTCTTTTATTCAATGACAGTTCTCTGTAGAATGTCTTAAAATGTATATTCATGCTAAAAAAAAAAAAAAAAGAAAGTATTTCTCCTAAAATGCAAGGGCAGCTTACATGCTGAGATGAAAACTGCTAACTCTTTTCTTAACAACACCATATGTCTCCAATTGGATCATAATGTAGTCAGTTCCCAAGGGAACGTTATACATGGAAGCTAACCAAATCAAGGCACAATCTCCACTGTATGTTGACTCACTGATTAACCAGTGATCAGATACTTTGGATTTTTCAGATCATGCTAGTGTCTGTCTGAAGGATCTTTCTACATTCCCAATATTCTCCCCAAACTCAGCAACTTACAAGAAAAAGAAAATCCACAAAAATATTCTTCTGGTTCAAACTTTCTCTTCTATATAGACTTAATATATTGTAAGAAACGAAAATGTTCAATCCCTGAACTCTCTAGTGAGTTTTAAATAGTAAATGCATTATGTAGCAAACACTATTGCAATCTAGCTTTAGAAGACAAAAATGAAAATATTGTGAGACTGAAGAAGTTACTTTGTTACCTCCTGATAATAACCATATACAAAAGAGTAACAACTAAACCAACTTTCATTAGTCAGATAGATCTTTATTCATCATAATTTTTCTTAGTTTAGCACCTTACTCGATCTTTAAGTTTTTATTGCATGAGTAAGTTATATTTTAAAATGTTCTTTCCGTGGAGGTAAGGGGATTGACTGAGCCCATGGGTTCAAGACCAGCCTGGACAACTTGGCAAGATCTTGTCTCTACAATAAATCAAAAAATTAGCTGGGTGTGGTGGTACATGCCTGTAGTTCCAGCTGATAGGGCTTGGGGGAAGGGGTTCATTGTTGAAATGACTCATTGTGCTAATCTTACATTGCTTGAGTGACATCTTGTTTCGCTGCTGGCAACTGCTTTCTCAAGGTCACGTCTCCAGGCTGTGTGACCACCAGCACCAGCCTGCTTCCTCAAGGCCACATCTTATGGCTATGTGACCACCAGCACCTGCTTTCTCAGGACTACGTGACCACCAAACTCCAGCTACGGGGTATAAAAGGAACCATAAAAAGAACAAGGGGCTGGTTCTTCTCAAAGGCCAGTCCTCCTTTCCTCTCCCTCTAACAAATTTTCTTTTCTTTGCCTAACCACTTGACTCGTTCTCTTTTTCTCCGCATTTGCCTTACACCAGCTACTTGGAAGGCTGAGGCAGAAGGATCACCTGAGCCCAGCAGGTCGAGGCTGCAGTGGCCATGAGCATGCCACTTCACTCCAGCCTGGGTGAAAGAGTGAGACTCCAACTCAAAAAAAAAAAACCAAAATGTATTTTCCTGATATTAAATACTTTCCATATATACTACTGCCAGATTAATACCAATTTGAGGTATGTGTAGCTCTGATACACATGATATATCCAATTCCTTTATGTTTAATGTAATTCTTCTTCTTTTTTTTTTTTTTGAGTTGGAGTCTCACTCTGTTGCCCAGGCTGGAATTCAGTGGCAGTGGCACACTTGCAGCCACCGCAGTCTTGACCTGCTGGGCTCAGGTGATTCTTCCACCTCAGTCTTCCAAGTAGCTGAAACCACGGATGTGCAATACCACACCCGGCTTATTTTTTTATTTTTATTGTAGAGGTGAAGTCTCACCAAGTTGTCCAGGCTGGTCTCAAACCCCTGAGATTAGGCAGTCCTCTAGCCTTGGCCTCCCAGAGTGCTGGGATTATAGGCTTGAGCCATCGTGGCTGGGACTAATGTAATTCTTAATGGGATAAAGATATATCATTTTATTATGTGTATAAAACCATAAGAATTTTGCCTTGAAAAGTATGAGATGCCCAGGGATAGTTTAGATTGAAAATTTTAAAACTATTATTGATAGATGCTATATTTAAAATTTCTAATTTGTCAGTATCTGATATTTTCACAAAATATAAAATTATGTACTCAGATTGCATGACAGCATCATGTTGCTGAAAAAATTTCTAAATGTTTACACTTACTTTCTGTATTTTCTTATCTCAGACTGGTAAAAAAATGTCTAGGACTAGCATATATTTGTGGGATTCACTGTGAATATCACTGTTGAGATATTTTATCATTTAGAAATCAGGATTTCTACTCTAATGATGAGTCATAAACTTCCTTCACTTCAAGTGTCATTCTTTATTAACTATTCTTTGCTATGGTTTTCTTCTAATCTACTTTAGGGTATTAGCCACAGAGATTTAAAGAAAGGCCAAAGAAGAATTACCAAAAAGTTTTGGAGAAAAGTGAGTTGCTGCATAGTATTAAAAATATACATTTATAAAAGCAACACTGCCCCCTCTCACCCCAGTAACCAGCAAGGACTTTTCCGTATATCCGTTCTAACAAGAGCAATTTAAGCCTATGTTCTGTTCAGTGATTTATTAATGACATTTCTTACCTGGGATGCCTGGTGGTGTTTTCAGGTATTTTCCATTAAAATGTTGAATTACCACTTCACATTTTTCAGTAGACTCCATTCTGGAAAAAGAAGGTACACAGGTGATTATATATTGTCATCAAGAAAAAGAAATTTTAAAAGAAAAGGACAAAAGGAAAGTCATGGAAAAGCTTGATTTGAGAAATGTATCCCTATTGCCAAATTTTGTCATGACCACCATGACCAGACTGATAGGAAAGCTTCATAAACTCACCGTTGCTAAGAAAGCATTATTCACAATATTGAAAGTTGCCTACACAGATGGTTCTGTGCTGATCCCTTGTCCAGAGGTAGCCCTGAGACATTATTACCTTACTTAATTCACACCACATATTTGACGATTGAAAGTGCTCAACAAATGACTGACTCTGCAAACCTGAAATTTAGGTCTTGCCATTGACCTTCTTACCGACGAGGGTACTGAGGCTTAGAGAGAGAAACTACCTTTCCAAAAAGTGGTAGCATGGTAGAACCAATGCCCTGTTGACATAAGGCCTGGTACTGTAGCTACTAAGCCGTACTATGGAGGGACTCCACAAAACAAGTGGATGAGAGTGTTTTATTTGAACAGCTTGCAGCCTAACTCAGCATCATGACACATTTATTGAAAATCCACTTGGCAAAAGATACCTAAAGAGAGTTATTTGGAGTCCTACATGTTGAAAGAAAAAAATTATAAATTATATAGATAGATAGAGAGAGAGAGAGAGAGAGAGAGAGAGAATGAAAGGAGATGGAGATACCTATAGAAACCTAGAAGAAATTTAGCTTATCCTAAGTTTAGTCTTTTTGTCTCAGCATAGCCATTAGAAAGCATTTAGACATTCTATTGCAGGTCAAGAGGCAGCCTACACCAGCCCCTCTGCAAATCACCATCAGGTGCAAGACAAGGATGGAGCCATAGAAATTGTAATAGACCACCTTTTGGTCAAGGAGCTTGCGGATTGCAAATGTCTAACAAGTCTCTTGCAGGAAAAACGCCTCCAGGCCCAAACCCCCAAGTTAACCTAATCAGTCCTTTGTGACCTCTGTGACACAGACAGACCCTCATCATGGCATCGTTCATGTGGCTAAACTACCCATCTGCCAGCTGTCCATCACATGATGTCAGTACCTGTGCTTACCTACCCCTTTGTGATGACACGGAGCATACCACCACCCAACCACCTTAATGATCTTCCCCCATCAAGGGGAATGGTTAAAAGGACTCAATCACAAGCAACCAGCGACCATTGCCTTGCTAGATTCTGGTGTGACCATGTGCTCTTTGAGCTAGGGCTGCTGCCATGCCTCCTGGCTTTGGCCCCCTCCCCTATCTTGGGGAGGTGTATCTTCTCTTTCTCTCTCTTGTATTTACTTTAAATGAACTATATTTTCTAATCTAACTTCTGTGCAATTCTTTGCATCTTTCATGTGGCATCAGATCGCTCTCCAAACACCCACACCCCCACTGGGCCTGACCTAACATTCTGGAGACCCCACTGGGAGTGTATGACCCTAACACTGTATACGTAAATACACACACACACACACACACACACACACACACACACACACCCACCCCTAAGGTCCTACGCTTTATTTTGAATTTGGGACAATATCCTATTTTGTTATACTAGATATCAATATTCCTAAACTGAAGCTCTAATGTCAAATTTGGCATCTCACATACAATGTAAAGAATGAACATATTCTGCCATACCTTCATAATTTCAATTTTGGCACCGTTGCCATATCTCAATTAAAGTAGTATGTCTAAATAACAAATTGTATCTGGTCTTTATTATTTTATACGTTTGGTGGGGAAGATAAAAATTAAAGAGTCGATTTTGATGAAAGGAAATTAAGTCTTACAAAGAGTTTACTAGAGGCAAAAATAAATTTAAGAAACAGCATACACACACATGAAAGAATGTGTCTAAGGTGTGTGAAATTTGTCCAAAAGGCAAAGCATAATTTTGGATTTTCTGCTATGCCCATCCATGCAAGTTGTAAAACTTTTCCTACATCTAAATTTAATGTGTGTTTTCAGGACCATACTATATGGCCATATTACATGCAGAGGAAACGAGATAAGGAAAAATATGTGAACAAATGTCAAATAAGCTATATGTGTTTATTATGGCTACAAAAATTCAAATGTGAGAGGAATTCAAGAAGCCAGAAAGATGCTGAGAAAAGGCGCAGAAGGCAGAAAAGGACTTTGGAGATCTAATCAGGGCAGGCAGGTGAGAGGGCCTGAATCCTTTGTACAATGGGGTAGAGGAAGCAGAGCACCTGGTTCAGTGGAGGTTTCACCTGGGAGACTCTTAAAAATAAATTGGGTGATGCAGACCTGGTTAACAAGTTTGACGATAGTATCAGGGACAGGTTCCATTGAGAAGCAGTAATTATTTTCAACACATTTTTTAGCGTGTTTTCAAAGATAGGAGGTCCGAAATTTAAGTTCGCGAACTCATCCTGGAAAAAGTGCTACATATCTCCTTGCTGAATATCACTAAGGTCACTTTCAAAGTATCCCCATGGGAAGCTATGCACCGATGCCCATGCTTAGTCCACCCATCAAAGCTGTTTTGGAACTCTTTTTCTGGAATGGCCACCAGAGCTGTTGTTGTTATTTGTTGGGGTCTAACAATTGAGTTCACAAACTTGTCACTGTGTGTTTACATTGGCAGCACTGTACAAATAACTGTATTGGAACACCCTCCCAGCTCACCTGATCTGGCACACAATAACTTTTTTCTTTTCCCAAAGATAAAGAAAATATTGAAAGGAAGACATCTGATGACATTCAGGACATCAAGGGTAACATGAAGACAGTTCTGATGGTCATTCCAGAAAAAGAGTTCTAAAATTGCTTTGACGGGTGGACTAGGTGTTGGCATCAGTGCATAGCTTCCCAAGGGAAGTACTTCAAAGGTGACCGTAGTGATATTTAGCAACAAGGTATGTAGCATTTTTTCTAGGATGAGTTCTCGATCTTAATTGTTGGACTTCGTACATTCCTATGAAGCACGGAATGGGTGTGCATCTTTCTGTATTGATCCACATGGCAAATCTTGACCACCAGCATAAAAGCCATGTTCTCACATGGAACCCCACCCTTAGAACAACCCTGCACTTGGTTTAAACTTCTGCTATCACCGTCTTGAACTTCTCAATGATTTTTTAACAAGGGGATCTGTATCGTCATCTTTCACGAGTCTAAAATTTTCACAGCTGATCCTATGACAAGAAAGCACTGGAAACCAATTTAACATTAGCACATCAGTTGTATTTCATCAGTGGATCCATATAAGTATTATTTTGAAAACATCTTATGAATCCATTTGATGTCCAAACGAAAACAAAAATCTTTAAGTGTTATCACATGTAATTTTAACAAATAAAAAACACAGATAGTATTTTGTTCACTGCTCGTTCACAAATTCCCCCATTTCAGAAGATTTTTGGGTAAGAAAGGCAAGATGAATCTTTCCTCATTCTAAATATTTAGGAAGAGCTAAGTATAATTTTCCTAACTCTTTCAAGTTTTCTGTCCAGTGGACCCTTTTACGGTAAGTCTTCCAATTTGTTTATTTATTTATTTATTTTTAAGTAGGAAACTTCCATTTCTAGGAACAAAAGAATTCTAATTCTGCTCTTTCTTTCTTCCCACAGGATCTACTATTGTCTCTTAGGGAAAATAACCTTCCCTCCTAGCAGAGACATGAATGGGAGAAGAACTGCAAGCCCTTAATTACTACAGATGTTACTTTATAGAATTTTTATGCCAGGAGAGCTACAGAATGAAAAGTTTATGCCCCAGAGCCCCCTCCCTGTTCAATCTCTCTCTGGGTACTCATCTAGATAAAAGGCAGTTAAGAATCAGAAGCTTGTTTGCAAGAGTCCCACAAATCAAATCCTTTCTCTTTGTCTTAAAATGGCATGGAATCCTAACTGAAGACTAAAACGAGACTGGAGTTTGTGTGTGTGTGCTTGTTGATCCTATATAACGAATTTTAGGGAACACAGAGGAAGCTGAAGAAGAAAATCAGTTATCTAACCCAGTCTACCCATTTAAAATATTTCTGTTCTGGCTTGAAAGCCTCAAGTCCTCCCTTCTGGATTTTAAGTATGATCATCCTTTCTTAACACTGTTTTACAGCCATATCAAGCCGGATGGGGGCTGTTTCTATGAACACAAAGATAGCAGCGTAGATTGTTCACTTTGGGTTCATTCAGATTTAACTAAGTGAATGTCTGCTGTGAGCCTTTAGAGACTCTCGTCTCTGAAAGAATAAATGCAATAAAAGTCTGTTTTCTGTAGCTGCCGGCGCTTAGTGTCAAACTATGTTATGCTGCACCACCCAGCAGTGACAATTTCATTTTAATACACGGGGCACATTTTAACAAGGCAAAGCAGTCCCAGCAAAGATGGCAATACAGGAGCTGCCAAGGGGAAAAGGCTCAGTGTTCCTCGTGCATTTTATGTGGAAGCAGAACAAAAGTGAGACCCAGAGAGCTCTGGGGGGAAGGAGACTGTATTTGAATAGCCATCTTAAGAAGAATGTGCCCATTTTCTTCTCAAGTTTCACAATTAACTGCTCTGAAATGCCAGCTCAAGCTATCTGAAATCTGGCACACGCTTCAGTTGAAACTGACACTAGCATTATCAAGTGGGTCTGAAAAGACAGCACACCAGACACAGCTGCTTTTCTATGTGCCTTTCAGATGGGCCACTGAATCACTACAACTATTCTATTCTTCCTAGGCGGTACCTGAACCCCCTTGTGTCCCTCAGAACAGCTCGAGTGCCAGGCCAACCATTCACCTGACAATACATTAATTAGGTTCTTACAAGGCTCCAATCATTGTATAAAGCATCAGGGTTTTCTGTTAGGTCTGATGTTTAAATATAAATACACATTAAAGGTCCTATTTGACACTCTTTCTTGTCTCAGTGCCTAGGATCCTGGCTTCAGTCATTTGAAACACCACAGAATCGAGCTGCTGCTTCCTCCTTTTTTTTTTTTAACAATGGCTCCGAAGAGGAGCAAGT